TCTGAAGAAGGGTTTCGACCTGAAACGTCAGCTTTCCTGCTCCTCTGATGCTGCTTGGCCTGCTGTGTTCATCCAGCTCTACACCTTGTTATCTCAGATTCTCCAGCATCGGCAGTTCCTACTATCTCTTAGGAATAAGATATTTGTTTTTCATTTGAGACTTTAACATAGTTGAACTACCCTTTGGGCCGTTATCAGGTAGCTCATGTGTTGGGTGAAAAGTCTGCCCTACAGCCACCTGTACATGGTGAGGTATATCCTCTATGACCAGTTTTCCTCTTCCTCCATGACCAGTTTTCCTCTTCCTCATTCTGCCATGTGCAAGATTTCTACAGCCTTAATCTTTACACTGCTTTTCATGTATTTAGCAATTAGCTGAACTGGACTCCTGGTGGCCTTCACTATCTCATGATACAATTGTTCAACCTTGCAATCTACATCCTGCAGAGATGGGCCAAGTGAAGATGAGAGTGCGTTGGAAATTGGAAGTAAAATAGATAACTTTTTCCAATTCAGAATGAAAGAGAGAAGTAGCACCGATGATGTCATTTGTATACCAGAAAAAAAAAGTTGTGGGTTGTGGTGGGTGTAAGACTGGATGTTCCACATATCCCACAAAGGGACAGGCATAACTTGGACCCAAACAAAGTGAGAGGAGTTAAATGAGAAGTTATTCAGAGTGAGGATGAACTTTGCCAGGCTGAGGCGGGTGGTGGAAGATGGGGATGTTTGAGCTTTCTTTCCAAGAAGAAATGGAGAGCCCTGGAACCATCCCAAGGGGGATGTCCACGATACGATGTGGCTGGAGCCCGTGAACTGGAAATTCTGAAACTGATGTAAAATGTCAGCGGAATCGCGGATTTAAGTGGGAAGGGACTGGACAATGGGAGAAAAATAAATTGAGTCGAGGGATTGGAAAAGTTTATCTATTAAGTGTCCAATTTCCATTCATCTCACCTTCATCTGGTCTATCTCTGACTCCTCCCTTCCTTGACATTTCTGGGGATAGGCTGACCACCAAACCCACTGACTCCCACAGTTGCCATGACTATACATCTTCACACGCTCCTTCTTGTAAAGACTATTCCATTCTCCCAGTTCTTCTGTCTCATCTGTTCTGATGATGCCAGCTTTGACAAAGAAGTGTCTGAAATATCCACTTTCTTTCTTAACCAAGGATTCCCCAGCACCGTAGTTGACAGGGCTCTTAGATGAGTCGGATGCATCTCCTGAACTTTGGCCCTCACTCCTCTCCTCTCTCACAACAGCGTTGGGGTCCCCTTTGTCATCCTTCCACCCCACTGTAGTAACAAGGTCAGCCAAGTGGACCTCATAGAATATGAGTTCCCTGATTAGATCTGATTAACAGCCCTAATCAAGGAGCCCTGGCTGACAGATAAGAACAGGGCTGTCAGACATCCCTATTACTCACAGCTAGCTCTGAGGGAGCTGGATCAGTGTCAAGGACTCTCCACATGGAAATAAAGGGTGACTTGGTGATGGGATACTGGCCTCTGTGGAATTATTTCACCCACCAGCATCCACATCCATAGGATCATCAGCTGCCATTTCCGCCACCTCCAGCAAGATACCACCACCAGACAAATATTCCCCTCCCTTGGTAGCCTTCTGTAGGGGCCATTCCCTCCAGGACACTCTGGTCCACTCCTCCTTCATTGCCAACATCGCCCACAGCCCCACGGCACCTTCCCCTGCAACAGCAGGAGTAACACCTGCCTATATACTTCCTCCCTCCTCACCATCCAAGGTCCCAAACACACCTTTTCACTACTCACAAGGTTTTCTCCTCTACATTGGGAAAATGAAATGGGTGACCACTTTGCAGAACACCTGCGTTCTGTCCACCAAAAAAAAATGACCCTGAGTTTCTAGTTGCCTGCCACTTCAACACATCACCCTGTTCTCTGGCCAACATCTCTGTCTCAGACTTGCTGCCGTGCTCCAGCGAAGCTCAGCACAATCTGGAAGAACAACACCTCATTTTCCACTCAGAAACTCTCCAGCCTTATGGACTTCACATCGAGTTCAATAATTTTACACTTGAAGCCATGCCCTTACCTTTACCGCCACACACCAGGCCTTGTCATCACTTTAGCTGCTACCACACACAACCCAATGTCAGTTACTAATGGTCCCAATTAGCAGCTATTCATTCCCCCAGACTGACCTTTACCACTCCTTTGTCTGTCCAACTGTTTTTCTCTCTTTGGGCTCTACCTCCCCCAATGTTTACTCTCCCCCTCCTCCCACCCCATCTTCTGCATAAAAAAGATAGGAAACCTATCTACCATCAGTTCTGTAGAAGGGTCACTGGACCCAAAACATTAACTTTGATTTCTCTCTACAGCTGCTGCTAGATCTGCTAAGTTTTGCTAGCAATTTCTGTTTTTGTTTTTGGTTCCCATGAGCTGGTTGATCTGGGTGAAGCCTCATGCTGTATGCTGTTAAGTGTTTAAGATTACAGCAGGACTACATATGGTTGAAACTTCATGAGTTGGTACACCCATTCAGGCTTCATCGCTTACATTGAAAGCATCTGTGCAAAAATACCATTTGGATATCGTTGAGCTCACTTACACTGGAGCTTGGGGGAAGACGTCTTTCCCACCAGATCCCTGCCCCAGACATATCTGCAAAAACACGTGAACACAAATTTCCCCTTTTTGCGGAAGATTGAGCCCATGTATGTCAATTCAGCAAATGGATGTTATTGAGTATTCATGGCATGGTAATGAATGCAAAGAGTTTTATGATCATCAAGGACAGGGAAAGGCACCTTGGTTGAAGGGTTCAGAGTATTTAAAAGCAAATCTTTAATCTGCTGTCAGGGTGCTACATTTTTTGCCTCGCACCCAATTGAATTTCCCCACCCTCTCTTCTAAAAGGGTTTTCAAGAAGGAGGTAGATATAACTCTTCTGGCTAAACGGATTACGGGATATGGGGAGAGAGTGGGATTAGAATTCGATGATCAGCCATGATCGTAATGAATTGCAGAGTAGGCTCGTAGGGCTGAAAAAGCTCCAGCGGGCCTGAAAAATTCCACCTATCATATCCATTTAATATAAAACAGTTTGAGCTTTGGAAACTTTAAAATTTGATGAGCAAATTAGAAACTATAAATTTTACTAGTTTTAACTTATAAACTGTATAAAAACAAGAAATTTTGATTTTTGCTTGAGATTACATTGTACTTATTTTAATTTAAGTTAGATTTTAATAGTTTGTCAAAGGAAATTTAAGCAGAATTCACTGGTCTTTTCTCACATTCAATTTTGAGCAAAGTACTTACCTTATCTCGGAGACCAAAGTGCAAGTGAGGCAGCATGTGTAGGCAAGGAGATAGAAGTTTCATTTCCACAGGGATTATACTCAGCTCTCCCTTTTTTGTCTTTCCTGGGTTTCCTTGCACTCCAACAACATCACCACGGCGCAACTTATTATTTACTTTGAGGAATTCCTCTTCAGATTTGTAATTTCTAAAATGATTATTAAAAGACTCAACAGGAGCTGTACACTAAAAAAAAACGTGCTTATCATTTCCAGACTTTTTTTTTTTTTACAGTGAACATCAAACAGCAATCTCCAGATACCTGCAGCTAATAGAAGAAAATGCAATTAAACTGACAAATTTCATTTTGGCATTCCCTTAGTATGTTCACCCAGTAGCAGTGGCAGTATTAAAGCACGTTAATACAGAAAGTACCTGAAGAAGATTCTAGTAATTTTAAATTTCAAAAGTAAACAAACTGAACATATAATGCTATTTACAATAATTTGCAGCAGTCAGATAAATCTGATCTTTTTTAGACCTTATTAGATCTATTCCACAGAACAGTTTGCTCCAATCTGAAATTCAACTCATTCAAATCAATGAGAAAATACATGCACCTAGAAAAAAACTTGCTAAGGAATAACTAGGCATGTGTTACTCTTGTATAGAATAATATTTGTATATAAAGGTGAAATATTTATAAATCAAATCAAAAGATTCAATTCCCCTAATAAATAACATCTGCACAAATTAACTCACTTGGAATTAGCCATAACTTGTAATTTGACTCCTTCACCACGGAGATCATAGAAAGTTAGTTTGGCACCAGAGGTCCTCTTAGCATGGATACGACCTGAAGAAACAGAGAGAGTTGCAATGTTGTCCAATATAAATTTTCAAACCCAACAAATTAAAATGCAAATTAACATAAACAGGTGCTATATTGAATTAAGAAAATATTTAACTTTTTGCAATAGAACTTTCTGCACAGAAAGTGAGTCAGATCTCATTATTGTTTATATTTAAGATTGAGGCAGCAGCACATTGAATAATCAGCACAAAGAAACCAATAGGATGCAATAGCACAACATACACAAATACGCAAGGTTGAAAAGGTGAGATTATTTTGTGCTCAACTTAATGAATCAATGATTCATGTAATCATCGTGACAACCTCCTGATTCTTGAGCAATTATGACTGAAATAATTCATTCATCAATACGTTAGTTCTAACTCTCAAATCTTTCTCTACCATATAATTAGTAACAGAAATAAGCCATTCAGCTCATCAAGACTGTTCCCCTCATGATTGATTGAGACTCAATTCCACCTTCAACTATATTCCTGATGCCATTATGCTAGAAAAATCTACTTATCTGAAAATTTGAACATTTCAATTGACCCAGTTTTTGATTAAGTGAATTCCGGATCTCTACTGCTGTGAGAAAAATGTGTTTCCTTATTTCATTAACCAAATTCTAAGTTATCAATCCTCTCCAGATAAAATACAGCCTACACTACTGGATCACTTTAATTTTAAGTATGTAGATTAGATAATCCCTGAACCTTCTAAACCAGAGAGATTACAAGCGAAATGTATGAAATATGTCCTCAAAATTAGTCCTTTCAGTTATGGTGGATTTGAGTTGGATCCCCTCCAAAGTCAGTATTATTTTCGAGAGCTTTGGTGCGCAAAAATGAATATAGTACCTCAGATGAAGTTTAACCAAAGTACAGCAAAACAGAAGAATACTTTTAAATTCTAACCTTTTGAAACAAAGGCCCAAGAATTCTATTAGCCCTTTGTCATTTCACATCTGTGCGTTATCTTTCTCTCATCATTGCAATATTTTTCTCAATCTGCCTTTGAAAAATCTAAAAAGTGGATAATCTCAAGGGGAAGAGAACATGAGGGTTTGGGGCAAAGGTCCTGCCAACTTCCCAACGCTGCCCAATTAAGGCTAAAGCAAGAAAACTTGTACACAGCCTTTCCACCCAGAGGTTAATTGAAGCCTGTAAGAGCATCACGCCACCACATCAGTATGCAACCGACAGCAGGTGAGGGAGTCGCCACAAGCGTGAAGCCTGAAAACCAAATCACATCAAGACTGACCAAAAGACACAGGAGTAGGAAGAGGTAATTTGATCCATTGAGCCTGCTCTGCCATTCAATAAGGTCATGACTGATTTGATAATCCACAGCTCTGCATTCTTGCCTTTTCCCCATACTGATTAACAATGTTTGTTTGCCTTTGATTTCTACGGGTAGGGGAGAGTGAGAGCAGTATTGCTTCAAGCAAAGGCACATAGCACCTGATTGAGGGATCCAGCTTCAGGAAGGAGTCCACTGAGAGGAGCTCCCTGTTATTTCTTCAGCCTCCTTCTTGCCTTCACTCACATCTGCCTGGGGTTCCTCAGCAATCCCAGACTGATTCAGATGCCACTGATGGGCAATGGATATCTGCCAGATTCCAACTCTCAGGATCCTAAGTCAGTGTCCTGCCATTAAGTGCCTAATGGAGAATTAATTTTAGTGGGCCTTCTCTAACACAGACAACAGAGGCCTCCTCCTGGTTTACCAACTGGCAGGCAAGATTCCATTGCCAACAGTAACTTCAATTGACTGTTTCAACTTTCCAGTAATCCTTCCTGCATTGCCTGTCTCTTTTACTAATATTACTACAACATTTTTGATGCAATTTTCTTATCATTTCTAGAGTTTGAAATATTTAGCTTCCAATCTTGCTTGGGTAGTAACTTAATGAAGAGTTATTCAATTAGTTCCAGTCTCTTTGTCTTTCATCTAAGCCCCAAAAATATTTATTTTAAGAACATATCCACTTCCCTTTTGAAGATTCCTAATGAATCTACTTTTACCATCCTTTCAAGCAATGTATTTAACATCGTATCAATTGAAAGTACTGAAATAATGGTCTCATATTCAATCTCATTTTGTGCCAATCAGTATTGGCTCCCTAATTACAACCTTCCATCTAGAGAAACAGAATCTCCCTAACTGCTTCATCAAAACATTCAATTTTTGAGCTTCTGTATCATACCTGCTGTGTTCCAAGGTGATCAATTTCAGCTTTCTCAGACTCTCTGCAAAACTGAATTCCTTCATCACTAATAACATTCCAAAAAATCTCCTCTACATTCTCTCCAAGAACTTCACACATTTCTAACCTGTGTTGTCCAGAAATGGACACAACAACTGGTATTAAAAAAGACTTTTCTGAAGAAGGGTCTAGGCCTGAAACGTCAGCTTTCCTGCTCCTCTGATGCTGCTTGGCCTGCTGTGTTCATCCAGCTCTACACCTTGTTATCTCAGAAAAGACACATTTGCTTACTTTTATTCTTTGTACCTGAAATGGAATACAAGTGCAAGGAGGTGGTGTTGAACATGCATAAAACTCTAATTAAACCTTAACAGGAGTATTGTGTACAGTTGTGGGCACCACTTTAAGGGAAAGATGTAAATGCATTGGAGAGATTGTAGAAGTGATTTACAAGAAAGGTTCCAGGAATGAGAAACTTTAGCTATAAGGTTAGATTCAAGGAGGAGGGACAGTTCTTAGACAGAAGACAGCTGAGAGGAAAATTGATAGAGATTTTCAAAATCATCAGTGGGCTGGATAAAGCTGATAGAGAGAGAATCTGTTCCTGCTCATAAGATGGCTAAGAACAAGATGGCATGGATTTACAGTAACATGAAAAAGAAGCAAGGGTGATGTGAGAAAAAAACTTTTTCACACAATGGATAGTTAAGGTATGGAATGCACTGCCTGGAAATATGATGGATGCAAATTCAATTGAAGCATTCAAAGAGGGCATTGGATGATTATTTAGATAGAAGTAGTGTCCTATACTGTAAGGGGAAAAAAAAACAAGGGATTTGCACTAGGTAATGATGCTCGTTTGAAGAGTCACTGTAGATATGACGGCCCAAATGGCTTTCTTCTGCGCCGTTTCAATTCTGCGACTTTCATAAAACAATAGATACCCATATATTATTCATTTCCATAAATCAAGCTGTCCTGCTACCTGTAAAGCTTGTGAACACTTATCCCATGTTCTGAAGGACTTTCTGATCCAGCATTCACCTTCAGTTTGTACTACTTAGCTTACATTGTCTCTCATTTATCCCTGCAATTTCCTTTTTTAACTTTGAAGTTGTACTATTAGTTAGGTTGGTGATTACGGTTAGGTTTATTTAAGTTCGTGACTGTCTTCCACCATTTCCTGCATTAACTCTTCTTAAAATAAACTAAAAGCAAAGGTGCTAATGTGTAAAATCTCACCCGCTACAGATAAAATAACATCAGAGAGATGGTCTCCAGGCTGCAGATTGTTGTATTTCTCAATGAACTCTGTTAAGGATATATCAACATGGAATTTATGAGGATATGGGTCATCCTCAGTCCCCTTCAGTTGCTGGATGGCCTGTGTTCGAATTTTGTAGTATTGCTGAAACAAAGAATTACAAAATTTTGAAACGTGCTCTGAAACAAGCTTCAGACATCTTAAATAAGCAGTGCTTTATAAATAGGAAAATGTCTCAGCAGTGTGACCAGATGAAAATGGATTCAGAGTTAAAGAAACAAACATTAGGACCAATAGTTAAATTTTGGCCAAAGAGAGATAGGTTTTTAAGGAATATTTTACAGAAACCAGCCAGAAAAAAATATCAAGTGACTTTCAGAACATAGGGTGCAAATGGCTGAAGTCAAAGGTGCAGCAAACAGACAGAAAGAATGAAAATTAAGGAATTCTTATTTTGGAAAAGGAAAGTTGATAGGCTGAAGGAAATTGCAGAGATGCAAACGGGTACTCAGTACTCAAAATTGAAAACAGAACCATTTTGGTGACTATTAACCAAATCAAAAGATTTTATGCTACAATCACATCCCATCCTGGTCTCCCCTTCTGGGATTCCTCCCCAGTGCAAAATTCTTTTAAATACACTACTCGACAGAAAGTCACATTAAACATAGCGTGTTACCACAGGAATAAATAGAGTTCTCACACTCACATTAGGATCAAGGGTTTCTTCATCTCCACTCATGTCAATTCCATCAACCTTCTTGGCTTCATTGGCTTGTTTCTCAGCTTGTTCTTTAGCTTTAACTTCCTTGTCAGCTGCTTTTTTCTCTGCCTTCATACGCCTCTTCAGCTCACTACAGAAATTAGAACACAAATGTAAAATTAATTTTAAAGTAAATCATTTCAACATATTTAGTCACAAGGGGGTTATTGCTCCTAAACGACTAAGTTATTTTAACATTTGAGGAAAATAGTGTTGGATCACCTATTCATGTACCATTTACAAATATGATTTTAAAAAAAGACATGTCAATTTTCCATAAATATTCATTATTGGTTTGGTTCACATAGATGTAAAAAACAAGGAAACTTTTATTGATTTTTTAAAGAAAAATCACTCAAATTTAAAGTCAAAATAACTATCACAATAGAACTCAAAGAAATGCTAAAACCACATTGCCAAATCAAAACTTTAATACTGAACACATATACAAAAAAAATCTAAAAGCAAATGTTTAACAACTGTAAGTCCACCATGAATATTAGAGAGATTAATAAAGGAACAAATGACTGTAGAAAATAAATGGAAGTGAAACAGAATGTGTAGAAATTCCTTTTTCATTGATCACACTGATATAATGTATACTATTAAGAAATAAAGATTATGTGCGGAGAATCAACTATTTGACTTGCAGCCTATCTCAATTCCTGTTCATTTCTGCAACAATAATTAGGTGCCTCAGGAATGCAGCCCTCATTGGCCAATTCTCTTGTCTGCACTCCACCCAGATGAAAATTTACACCCAGTTACTGCATAGATAAAGCTACACCAGTCTAACAATTACTAAGACCATTTGAGTGTTAATAAATACAATTTTGGATGAAATAAACTGGAGATAAAAATAAATAAAAAGATAATATTGTGTAACTAATGGCATGGTCAAATACAGTACTATTCCAAATGTGAAAACAATAATGAGCAGCATTTTGAGCAGTCACATACATGCTGTTCTAGTTACTCAACGCATTATTTCCCTCCAAATTAACTGTGGGGCCTTTCAGATTCTATCACTGTTTAGTTGGTGATATTTAAAATAGCATTAGGCTAATGTCAGCTGTTTTGAAAATGAGCAAGAGTTCCACTGCATCAGCTTTTAATCTAGTTCACTATGCAACAAGGTCTCCATTCTTGTTCAAACTAATTCAAATACTCACTTACAATGAAAAAAGGTTGGGTATTTGAACAAATTTAGAATATCTAAACATGAAACAAAGCACGACCAACCTCTTTTCATTATGCAATCTCTTCTGGAAAAGAGGAGTAAAGGAAGTAAGGCTGTGTGTGGGCACCATTCCCAAGTGACCCCTGACCCGCAGCCCAAGAAGCCTATGGAGACAGCTGGTCATCATAATGAACTGTCACAGTGTTGTCCCATTTACAAAGCACCTAACACCTAGTGAAAGACAAAATAGATGGAATCAAATAGATGGATTAAAGCTTCAATCAGCATTGTCAGGTTGCTTAAATCCAATTACTGTATGGCAAAATGAATTCCGGAACTCTGATTCAAATTATTACTTTCCCCTATTATTAAAATAATATAGATCAAAGGGAAAGAAACATATAAAAGACAGAACTTCAATTTGTTCAACAAAACAGATTTCACTGTAGATGTTAGGAAGAAAAATGAAACATCTGCATTTATTACTAGTCATCATGTTGAAGAGAATGGGCAGGATTTTCTGGAGAAGATGGCAAAGTTAATAGATATGTGTAAAATCAGACTGCAAAGTCCAGAAAGCCTACATGCACAGACAAATATGGAAATTATGAAATAGATGTCCGGGTTTCCCTGCTTTTACCTCACTAAGGAGGCCGAGCAATACAAATACATAGAATAGTGTGAAGCTGCTGTGTTTATTGTATAAGTATAAACCCAGCTTGCTAGAAAAAAAAAGGTATTGTAAGAGTGTACCTGTTTAACAGTCTGAATTATTGAAAAACTATCACTTCAACACAGAACCAATTTGAATAAGTTGTTTCTCATTCCTTTTCCTTCAGATTTTAAATATTGTTGGATATTTTCACATTTTTTTCCACTTCTTTGTCCCCTTCTGTTTAAAGGAGTTATGGGAGGAAGGGAAACAGGTATTTACTTTTCCTAATGTTTATGCCTCTGCTACAGGAGAAGAATCTTGTAATTTGGTGAATATCTGGTAAGCAACTAAGGTTTATTCTATTCCTAAGGTTCAACATAATAAAGCAGCTGGTGATATGGTTCACACTGACATAAAAATACAAGTCAGTATAGCATGACTTGAAACTTAACTGTACTCACCATACAAATACAATGGCTACAAGGGCAGGTCAGAGTCTAAGGAAATTATTTTCTAATCAAACTGTTCAGAGGTGTGATTTGAACTCAGGCCTCAGCATTAGGCACACTATCACTGTGCCAAAAGAGTCTTACAGGCTAGGAATCCAGCAGTGAGTAACTCACCTCTCTAATCCCCAAAGCCTGTCCACCACCTACAAGGCACAAGTCAGGAGTGTGATGGAATACTCCCCGGATGAGTGCAACTCCAACACTTAAGAAGCTTGACAGCATCCAGGACAAAACAGCCCTCTTGACTGGCGCCACATCCACAGCATCCAATTCCTCTAATACGGACGCTCAGAAGCAGTAGTGTGTACTACTTACAAGATGTACTGCAGAAATTCACCAAAGATCCTTAGACAGTTGTTTTGAAACTGATGACCACTTCCATCAGGAGGATGAGGGTAGCAGATATATGGGAACACCACCACCTGCAAATTCCCATCCAAGCCACTTATCATCCTGACTTGGACATATATTGTCATTACTTCAGTCTCTCTCTGTTAAAATCCTGGAACTTCCTCCATAAGGGCATTGTGGGTCTACCTTCAGGACATGGATTGCAGTGGTTCAATAAGGCAGCTCACCATCGCCTTCTCAAAAGGCAACTAGGGATGGTCAATAAATGCGGCCAGGCAGCGACGCCCATGTCCCACAAGGGAACAAAAACTCACTCAATTTGTCCAAACCACACTACGGCATTTCTGCATCTCCTCACCGTTTATCCTGTTTTGTGTTCTCTACAAACTTGGAGACAGTTAGTTCCCTCATCTAAATCATTAACATAGCTTGAGTTATAAGAGTACTGGAGGGACTGCACATATACTGCGGAGTACTGTGCACGGTATTGGTCGTCTTTCGTAAGTTAAGAAATTTTTAAAAATTCATTCATGGGATGTGGGCGTCGCTGGCTGGACCAGCATTTATTGCCTATCCCTAATTGCCCAGAGACCAGTTCAAAGTCAACCATATTGCTGTGGGTCTGGAGTCACATGTAGGCCAGACCAGGTAAGGATGGCAGATTTCCTTCCCTACAGGATGTTAGCGGACCAGATGGGTTTTTCCTAACAATCGTCAAAGGTTTCATGGTCATCATTAGATTCTTAATTCCAGATTATTATTGGATTCAAATTCCACCATCTCCCACAGCAGGATTCGAACCCAGGTCCCCAGAACATTACCTGGGTCTCTGGATTAATAGTCTAGCAATAATACCACTAAGCCATCGCCTAAATAAATGCATCATTGGCAATTCAGAGGTGGTTTACCAGACTAATAACTAGAATAAGAAGGAAAGGTTGGAAAGGTTAAGCTTATATCTGCTGAAGTTTAGCACAGTAAGAGGTGACTTGATTGAGATCCTGAAGGGTCCTGATATAATTAATGTGGAAAGAATGTTTCTTCTAATGGTAGCATCTAGGACTAGGGATCACTTAAAAATGAAGGGTCACCTATTTAAAACAGAGATGGGGTGATAGTGTTTCTCTCAGAATGGGGTAGCACAGTAGCTCAGTGGTTAGCACTGCTGCCTCACAGCGCTAGGGACCACGGTTCAGATTCTAGCCTCAGGCGACTGTGCAGACTCCACAGAGACATTCTCCCCGTGTCTGTTTGGGTTTCCTCACACAGTCCAAAGATGTACAGGTTAGATAGATTGGCCAATGCTAAGTTGCCCATAGTGTCCAGGGATGTGCAGGCTAGGTGGATTAGCATTGGAAATGCAGGATTACAGGGAAAGGATAGGGGTGTGAGTCTGGATGGGATGCTCTACAGAGGGTTGCTGTGGATTCAATGGGCTGAATGGCCTGCTTCCACACTGTAGGGATTCTATGAGAAGGTAGTAATGCTCTCTGTAAAAAGTTGGTGAAAGCTGAGTCCTTGAGTATTTTAAAGACAGAGGTAAATAGATCCTAGTTAAGCAAGAGATGGAAAGATTATCAAGGGTAGGCAGTATGCACACTTTGAAATGTTGCAAGCATCACACTCATACCACAGCTTGGAAACACCACCAGAATTACAAGCATGACAGCACAACATTCAAGCATACTGCAGGACACTCACTAACACACGTCCTACTTTATGCAGAAGAAAGTAGAGCATAACTGGAGACAGTAGTAACGATCAGAAAGCAGACAAGAGCAGTAGCATGTTTTTACAACCATCGAGGAGACAGTACTGGCCTTCAGGGAAAAGGGCACGATTGAGTCCATATCCACTGACAGTCGTAGTGGTCTATAGCACAGAAAAAGGCCCTTTGGCCCATTGAGTCTGCGCCAGTCAAAAGCAAGCATCTAATTATTCCAAACCTATTTTTGAGCACTTGGCCTATAGCCTTGTATGCCCTGGCATCACAATGCACATTTAAATACTTCTCAAATCTGATGAGGGTTTCTGCCTCTACCACCCTTACAGGCAGTGGAACAGAGAGTATTAATGGGATTGATGAGGAGAGTGTCTGCGTACCTGTTTATCCTTCTCTTCCCACTTCATGCCATATTTTTTGGCACACAAGCCATAATAAGCATAGGCTTGTCCTTTCCCTTCTCTCTTAACCACAACTTACCCCTTGTCCTGTTTTCATCTTAGCCATCTTAGAATTGCAGCAGGGAAGGAACAGGAAAACAGACAAACAGTGAAGATGATATTCCACTTGATCTTACATTGGCAGCCAACTGTCTTTGAAGGCTAGGAGAGGAAAAAACATACACATTGAAGACAGCAGGCAAAAGTACACAGCTGCAACCGTAGGAGGAAAGTCTAATGAGGTACCTAGTTTGCCAGAAAGGAAAAACGCACATTATTTCCAATAAGTCAGATGAGAATTTCTATGAATCAGGCTATGATGGAAAGATATACAAAAACGAAAAGAACTGCAGATTCTGGAAATCAGAACAGAAACAGAAATTTTTGGAAAAACCCCAGAAATCTAGCAGCATCTATGGACAGAAAACAGAGTTAATGTTTCCAGTGACACTTCTTCAGATCCAGTCTGGCTGCTTCAATGGAAACCGTCTTCCTGGGTCAGGTTGCTGCCATTGTGGGATGGCGCTGAATCATATTAACTCCAGGCAACAAGAGCTTGCTGCCGTTTCCCCTGAATGAAAACATTCCTGCTCCAGCACTCCCACTTTTCCGGTGCCTTTGCTATAACCCAGCCAGCTAGCCGGACCAGAAAGAAATAATGATCTAAAGCATGATCTGCTCCAAGACCATCTGTAATCTGAACTGAAACATCAGTGCCCTGATGACTATTAGGCTGCAGTCACAAGATGGCATGTAAATCAAAGCACCAGCAAAGGCTTAGGGAGCAGGGACAGGGAGACTAATAGTCATGTGAATGCACAATAGAATGCACAACAGCGGAGATTGAGCAAATCTACAAAATTGGATTATAAGTTTGCATTTCCTGTTAGTTTTTAAAAAGGAAGACAATTGATGCTCAATGATGGAGGATAGATAAGGAATTAGACCATTAATGAATTGCAAAGTGCAGAACATAGAACAGAACAGTACAGCACAGTACAGGCCCTTCGGCCACCATGTTGTGCCGACCTATTATCCTAAGATCAATCTACCCTACATTTTACTATCCTCCATGTGTCTATCCAAGAGTTGCTTAAAAGTCTCTAAAGTATCTGACTCCACTACCACTGCCGGCAGTGCATTCCACATGGCCACCACTCTGTGTGAAGAACCTTCCTCTGACATTTCCCCTATACCTTCCTCCAATCACCTTAAAATTATGTCCCCTCGTAATAGTCATTTCTGCCCTGGGAAAAAGTCTCTGACTATCCACTCTATCAATGCTTCTCATCATTTTGTACACCTCTATCAAGTCAGCTCTCATCCTTCTTCGCTCCAATGTAAAAAGCCCTAGCTCCCTCAAGCTTTCCTCACAAGACCTGCCCTCCAGTCCAGGCAGCATCCTAGTAAATCTCCTCTGCACCCTCTCTAAAGCTTCCATATCTTTCCTATAATGAGGTGACCAAAACTGAACATAATATTCCAAGTGTGGTCTAACCAGAGTTTTATAGAACTGCAGCATAACCTCACAGCTCTTAAACTCAATTCACCTGTCAATGAAAGCCAACAACACACCATAAGCCTTCTTTACAACCCTATCAACTTGGGTAGCAACTTTGAGGGATCTATGGACAAGCACCCCAAGATCCCTCTGTTCCTCCACACTGCCGAGAATCCTGCCATTAACCCTGTATTCTGCATTCAAATTCGACCTTCCAAGATGAATCACTTCACACCTTTCTGGGTTGAATTCCATCTGCCACTTCTTTGCCCAGCTCTGCATACTGTCAATGTCCCGTTGCAACCTACAACAGCCCTCCACGCTGTCCACAATTCCACCAACCTTCATGTCATCGGCAAACTTACTAACGCACCCTTCCACTTCCTCACCCAAGTCATTTATAAAGATCACAGAACAGATTGCTGCGGAACACCACCGGTCACCGAGCTCCAGGCTGAATATTTTCCATCTACTACCACCCTCTGTCTTCTATTGGACAGCCAGTTTTCTATCCAAACAGCCAAATTTCCCTGAATCCCATGCCTCCTTACTTTCTGAATGAGCCTACCATGTGGAACCTTATGAATGCCTTGCTAAAATCCATGTACACCACATCCACTGTCTACCTTCATCAAAGTGTTTTGTCACATCCGCAGAGAATTCAATAAGGCTTGTGAGGCATGACCTGCCCCTCACAAAGCCATGCTGACTATTTCTAATCAAACTGTGCTTTTCCAAATAATCATAAATACTATCTCTCAGAATCCTCTCCAATAATCTGCCCACCACAGAAGAAAGACTGACCGGTCTGTAATTCCAGGATTATCCCTATTCCCTTTCTTGAACAAGGGAGTGACATTTGCCACCCTCCAATTTTCTGGTACTACTCCCGTGTACTTGGAATTACTCGTATCGCTAATGAATAATCTAATCATGTAGTGCTCAGATAGAAAATGGTTATCTATGCTGTAGTCTCATTTACTTCTTTCACTTTCACATGTGTCTCCGCCCAATCTCATATACATTTTTTCATCGTTCCAATCATGTTTAAATTTCCTGAGGAAGCTTCACCCAGTTCTGGAAGCAACATTCTTCAGCACAACACTTTATGTGATAAAGGAAAGGAAGTACTGCCAGACTAACCACACCACTCTCTGTATCCAGATTCTAGTGAAGTAAAGGAAACATCCAAAAGCACATACAAATTGCACCAGAGGCTAGAATAATCCAGAAACTAATCTTATGATTCCTTTAAAATCACTGTTTGGAGTGGGGGTGGATCCTTCATTCCACTTAATGTGATGTTCAGTTATGAGAAGAAAGTACATTGGCTAGAGTGTGGTGTTGTAAAATGACTATTGCTGTCAAATCAGGGTCATACATCAATTACTGCCACTACCTACTGCATGGGAGCTGCTGACAGCTATTATGTAATCTTGTCTGCAAACATTTAACAATATGGTGACCTGCATATTTCTGACCAGAAATATGTGCAAACATCTCAGGATTCATCACACGTTGTTCAAATTACAGGAATCATTCAAACTTTGAGACTTGAAAAACAACCCTACAGTGAAGCCTCTTCCAAGGATGCCCACCTTGAAGAAGTTGTCCTCCTCCCTTTGGAAAGACCTCAGTGGATCTCCCTCCCACTGCAATCCTCTGATCCCTACTGGCACTCACCTATCACCATCCCACCTACTTTCCCCAGCCCCAACCCTCTTCTCTCTATTTATTTCCCAGCTCACTTCCCCCCTCCCCATTTCTGAAGAAGGGTCCCAATCCGAAATGTTAACATTCCTGCACCTCTGACGCTGCCTGGCCTGCTGTGTTCCTCCAGCACCACACTGTGTTATCTCTGACTCCAGCATCTGCAGTTCTTGCTTTCTCCTCATGTTTGCCCTATGTTAGGTAATCTTAGTCAAAGTGAAAGTGGGCTCACGGAATCCATTCGATTCCTGTGTTCAAAAGTGAAAATTTAATTCTAAATTAAAAATATAACAGCAGCTTCAGTAGCTTTGCACAAGACAACAGCAAGGATTATAATAGACCGAGGAAAAATCTATGAATGCAGCTCCAGCCATGAACTTACAACGAAGATCAGCCTTAATGTTTGTGGTGACAGCACAGACTTGTTCACAGAAACAGCACTGGGTCCTAAAGCTGGCCTGCAGTTCGGGGTGGGGATGAGTTTATAATAAAACCAACTGCTAAACGAACGAGCTTCTCCAGGAGCATATTAGTTGTCTGAGGAGTGAACTGGGTCAGTAGCTCTTCTGGCTTTTTTGATTTAGGCAGGTCAATTACCAGTGCTTCACTTTTGGGAATTTGACCATTCTCCATCATCGCTGGGAAGAGTGCCAGTTGCCATTATTTTGCCAGCAGATAGTGCAGAAGGTCCAATGGGATGCCATCTTTCTTGGTTAATTTGCCCTTTTTTTGTGGTTTCTAAGTCAGCATCCAGTTTCACAAGTGTAAAGTATCTGACAGCAGAGAATACTCTAAACAACTTGACGTTACTTCTGAGTTTTTTCTTCACCTTTTGTTTGTATTGTTTATCGATAGATTCCTTTAAATTAGCCAGTAGTTTGGCAGGAACACCATTTGCACTTAATTGTGGGTGAGCAGTGTCTGTGGTAGATGACAATGGCAGCCTTCTCACAATCCACCCTACCACAGAATTCTTGAACTGCTGAATAGGTATCTAATATCATCACATTGACACACAAATTAAAGCCACAGGTCTTGAATCAGGTTTATCCTCAATTGGTAGACCAGACTAGATCAAGGATTTTTGTACTCTATGACCCAAAAACTACATCTCGTTTTGTACAGTTTGCCTTGACAGTAAGAAACTAGTTTCAGGAATACAACATACAAGTAATAGTGACAGGAATGTCTTTCAGATCTTTGAGCTTACTCTGACATTCAGTAAGAAAATCTTTGGCCTAAAGTCCACTTTACTATCATTTCCCTGTATCAGTTGACTTCCTGGGAGACAAAAACATTTTCTATCCCTGCCTTATCTAAACTCTGTGATGGAGAGCATCCACAATCATCTCAGTATTTCCAAAGATTCACAAATGAATTCAGAAATTTATTATCTCAGATCTAAAAACAATCCCTAATCCTAATTTTATGGTCTGTGTTCTGGGTTCTTCAGTCATTGTAAACAACCTGTTTCTATCATGCCAAGCCCCTTTAGAATTTTGCAAGTCTTAATGAGAACACCTCTAATTCTTCAAAACGTACTGGGCAACGGCTCAATTTATTAAGAAACAAAAACAGAAGCTGCTGGAAAAGCTCAGCAGGTCTCAACTGAGGAAGGGCCACTCAACCCGGAATGTTAACTCTGATTCCTGTTCACCGATGCTGCCAGAGCAGCTGAGTCTTTCCAGCAATTTCTGTTTTTGTTTTTGATTTACAGCATCGCAGTTCTTTTGGTCTCAATTTATTAAGACTTTTAAAAATTATATTCAGTGACTGCACTATCAAATTCACCAGCAAATGGCAGAACACATATACAGACTGACAATTTACAAACTAAAGCATGGATAGATCTAGAGTAATATGTAGTCTAACACGAAGCAAAGAGCAAGTGTTTATCTGTAACAAACAGAATGAAAATGCCTGCACTAGACTGATTACTCTTTTAGGACAAGCTACTGCATGTTAATTTGGTAAATATATGTTTATCCATGAATTCATTAGAATCTGCTGTTCAACAAGTTTTGCTGAAAGAAGGCATATTTTGTCAAAACTGGTCATCTTATGAAATATCCTGATGAGTGCTAGATGTAGTAGTTCGACAAAATGATTTATTTCAGCATCACTCAAGTACTACCAAACGACTCAATTCTAAAATTTTGATTCACTGTAATAAAACAAAGAACTGCGGGTGCTGGAAATCTGAAACTGAAACAGAAACAGAAATTGCTGGAGAAACTGAGTAGATCTGGCAGCATTCAATTCTCGGAAACGTTATCTCTGTTTACGCCCCACAGACACTGCCACACCTGCTGAAATTCTCCAGCAATTTGTTTCAGTTTCTTGATTCACTGTCCCAAGGTTTTTAACTTCACAATGTCAGAACTAATACTTCTGGAAAACCCTCGATGAAGCAATTGTAGTTGGAATACGTTTCACCAAAAAAAAACCCTTGATTTAATATTTTATTTGGAAAAGACAACAACTTTTTGACAGTGCAGCATGCTCTTGCGTCTTCGGACAAAGTGGAGGGATATGCTTTCTTAAACCATGCGGTAAAGCACTACTGTTAGTGAAGGGAGTTGGAAGATTTTGTCCTAGCGGAGAACCAGAGATTAGTGATTAAATCTAGAACGAGCGTGGTAACGTTCCCATACACCTACTGCTAGATCGTACGTTTCCCGACAAATGAATAATCTCCAAGCTCGGAAAAACGAAAGCGATGTGAATTACCGGGGCTGGAATCAGGTACCGCTGCCCGGAGCACCATGGGGCATGTAGTTCCTTGCGACATCGACTTCGCGCCGAAGCTGCCGTAAAGGACTACAATACCCAATGTGCTTCGCGCGACGCTGATGCAACGTACAAAGAGACCACACGAGAGGCTTTTGGGCCGTAGTCTATAAATAGTCCACAATAATTTTATAACTAGAAATGGCAGCTACTTGTAGTTATCGTTAAGAGGGAAAGAGCATTTAAAGACGTGGTTACCTACTTTTTACTCAGTTTGGTGTCCCCGCTGCTCGCAACCTCTCCGCTGTCCCCCATGTTCAGAAAGTGTGTGGAAAAACCGAGATGTTCCGGTTTACTTCAGATTCCTTCCGAGGCTCCGCCTTAACCCGAAACTATTTTATGTGTTTAGGTCTCTGGAGGGAACAAAGTGAAACTACTCTGCAGTTCACTCACGATAGTGAAACTAGTGTGGCCTTAAAAATATTATTGACTTTGATAAAAACAAATATTTTAGTTTAAACAAAGCATCTCTTTAATCAGTATGAGCTCCCGCCAGTAACATTCCTAATACTTTTTTGAAGTGTGCTATTAGTAGTACAGAAGTTATAAGAAACTGCCTATGGAAAAACAAAACGTGAACAGTAACATTTTGTAAGGGCGATAAACCAAACTGATTAAAAAGTATGTAACCACGTTGACAGGTACATACTTACGGCATAGAACAAAGCCATTTAGTCTGCCTTGTCCATGTCAGCTCTCTAAGGAGCAATTCAGTCAGTCCCATTCCCGTTTTATTTTACCTGCTGTCCTGCACGTTTATTTCCCACAAATGTCTATCTAATTTAAAATCTATTTTAACTGCTCGATAGTTCTGGCAAATCTCCGATTTCCTGCAGATTTGCTCAATGTCTCACTCTTTGGACACCTATGGGATACCGCCACTAGTTTAATTACACTACCCATTTTGCTACTTGTGCGTACCAAAAATAGATTCTGACCTCATCTCAAAGACATCCTCGCTTTACAGCATTACAATGTCTTCGCTAATCCCTACAATCACCCACTTCCTCTTTTACCTTCACTATCTTTTCTGACAACTTTGTCTTTGTGAATATTAAGTACCCAGGCCTTGGCATTCTTAAGCATTATTTCTGTTGTGGAGTCATACGGCATGGAAACAGGCCCTTTGGTCCATACCGACCATGTTCCCAAACTTTACTAGTCCTACCTGCTTGCGCTTGGTGCATATCCTTCCAAATCTTTCATATTCGTGAACTTATCCAAATGTTTTTTAAATATAACTGTACCCGCATTCACCACTTTCTCTGGCAGTTCATTCCACGCATGAACCACCTCGTACTTTTTAAATCTTTCTCTTCTCACCATAAATATAAGCGCCCTGGTTTTGAATACCCCCACCCTAGACAAAAGACCCTTGTCATTCACCGAAACTATGCCACTCACAATTTTATAATATTAGTAAGGCCACCCCTCAACCTCCTACGTACCAGTGGAAAAAGTCCTGGCCTTTTCAGTCTATTTTTAAATCTCAAACTCTCCATTCCTGGCAACATGTTGGTAAAATCTCTTCTGAACCCTCTCCAGTTTAACGGGGAGGTGATGGCTTAGTGGTATTATCACTGGACTGTTAATCCAGAGACCCAGATAATGTTCTGGGGACCTGGGTTCAATTCCTGCCGTGGCAGATGGTGGAACTTGAATTCAATAAATAGCTGGAATTAAGAATCTAATGATGACTGTGAATCCATTGTCGGTTGTCGGGAAAAACCCAACCAGATTCACTAATGTCCTTTAGGGAAGGAAACTGCCATTCTTACCTGGTCTGGCTGACATGTGACTCCAGACCCACAGCAATGTGGTTGACTCTGAACTGACCTCTGGGCAATTATGGATGGGCAATAAGTGCTGCCTTGCCAACGATGCCCTCATCCTGTGAATAAATAAAGAATATCCTTCCTATAACAGGGTGACCTATCAGTTGCCTACCTGAAATGGCCCCAGTGAGACACTCATGAGGCAAGAAGGGTGAGGTGGGTGACAAATGCAGGCCCAGCCAGAGACATCCAAATTGTACAAAAGTCAATAGGATGAGAAAAAGGCCTTTCCCAACTTCTCACTTTTTGTGAATCTCAGTGGTTTATGGATCTCTTAACACACCCCCCTCCTAAGCGAGTAACACTGAGCCACTTGTTCAATACTCTGTGAGAAAGCGTTCAAGATGTTCCCTAAGAACAATGATTCATAATTAAAAAGTTGACCTCAGACTGGAGCTAGAACTAATCCAGCCTGTGCAGAATAAAACAAAGAATAGGCAGCTTCACATGTAGAAGGGGTTTCTTGGTCATGAAAAACATCACGTACCTGCTGGAGAATAGAATAGGAATAAGCCAGTCAGTCCATCAAGCATACCCTACCCTGTCATTTTAGATCATGACTGATCAATACTTCATTGTTACTTTCCTGGGCTGTTTGCATATCCCTTACAGTCATTGGTCTCCAGGTATCTATGATTTCTGTCTTGAACCTGCTCAATGATTGAGCTTCTCCAGCACTCTGGGGTAGAGAATTCAAAGATTTGCCATTTGCTGAGTGAAGAAATTCTTCCTCATCTCAGTCTTAAATGATTGCACCTTATCCTGAAATTATTATCCCCAGGTTCTAGAGCCACTAGCTGGGGAAATGCGCTATCTATATCCTCCCTGTCATGCCCTGTAGGAATTTTGAGAGTTTTAGTGGGATCACCTCTCATTCCTCAAAACTCTGAAATGCAGGCCCAGTTTCTGCAAACTCTCCTCATAAAAAAATGTTCTGTCACGCAAGGGATTAAACTGGTGAATCTGTGTTGCAGGAAGGCAGTGACGTAGTGGTTTTGTCACTGGCCCTAGGTAAAGTTCTGGGGACTCAGGTTTGAAATTCCAAGACAGATGGTGGAATATGAACCAGACCAGACCCCCTCTAAATATATCAAGGAGATAACCTTAACCCTAACTTTTATTTTAAAACCAAAATAACTGTGGATGCTATAAATCAGAAACAAAAACAGACCCTAAGTTCTGAGGAATGGTTACCATACCCAAAATATTGACTCTGATTTCCCTTCACAGATGCTGCCAGACCTGCTGAGCTTTTCCAGCAATTTCTGCTTTTGTTCCTAACTTTTACCTTATTTACAGGCAAGTGTATGGTGCTACGTTCCAGATGTGATTTGATTGGTCACACTACTAGGCTTTAAGCAAAACACACCTTACAATGAAAGAAGAATTGGTATAACTTTAACTCTATTAGAAAACTTAACAGAATGATAGATTGTTTAACTACTAAACATCAACTGTTTCAATATCGTAACATCCCATAAACACTCCATTGGCAAAGGCAAATTCAGTAAAATAGATTGTCTCACATGTGGTATTTCTCCACTCCAGGAGAAAAGAACACCAAGAGAAAATTCTGGCAGAGAGAGGGTTATAGCAGCTTTCACAACCAACTTCAAAACCACTGAAAACTAAACTAAAAACATGGTTCTTTGGGAGCCTGACTTCACCCATTCATGCTGCTTCTATCATTTTAAACCCAGAGCTTCACAAGCTGTTTACTTTAGAGACAATTCAGTGCCTCTAGTTCAAGACCTCCCTTTGACAAAAATCAGGCCGAAATACGCCTCTTAAAGCCAGAGTACTGTCATACCACCCCCTTTAAAAAATCAACCGTCAAAATACAAAGATGACTTCATTTTTAAAAACCTTTAGCTTTACCCTACGATACATATACATTGACAACAAATACAAAGTTGCTGGAAAAGCTCAGCAGGTCTGGCAGTATCTGTGAAGGAAAAAACGGAGTTAACGTTTCGGGTCCGATGACCCTTCCGTTCTGAGGCCCCAACGATTCCTAACCAAACTTTTTGAATAGCCATTACCAGACACAAGTTTATAGCTTAAACAAAATAGTTAAGAATTTATTAATAGTTATTTTAGCAGAGCAAAGTTAACCAACAAAGTAATCTAATTAATGTCTATGATTTAAACCCAGTCTTCTTTGATTGTAGCCCTCACTTACACAAAGTTAGACAGATAAGGCATAAGTTAAGGGATAAATCAAAAGGAAAAAACGTGTAACTGGCCAGTTCACTTAAGCAGTCCTGATGATCCATGTACGGGCATATGGGATTATTTCCACAGCTTTGGACCAGGTTGTCATGGTCTGGTGGCATGGTGTCCACTGCTGGTAGTGGGGAAGGATGCAATCTCATATTTGCATCATCCCATCCAGCAGGAATCCAGGCCCCTGCCCAAGATGTGTGGTGCAGATTTCCCCCTCTCTGCCATGTATGGAGCAAATGCCAGGAACTGTGCAGTGCAGCAGTAGTATCCATTTCTGAAAATAATTTGGGAAATTATTCTTTAAATGCTGTATTGTGATCTTCCTTAGCAAATCCATGTACTTTTGTAATTAGCTTTAATCTTTACCATGCTGACCTGCTGAGAAATGAATTTTCTTGGTTCTTCAAGCTATAACGTAGTACAGTTATTTCACTGGCATAATATTTTAACCTTTCCACAATCTGACCTTTGACCTTTATACTTGTTCTTCCAGAGTCTTGTACTTGCATTGTAGAAAGGTTAAAATGAAGATAATGGACTGAGTTAAAACTATCAGACAAAATACTAACATTTGCTCTAGCCTGTAGTTTAAATAAAGTAGAATTTCCCTCTACATTGTTCACTGACTAGTAGTTACTGTCTAGATCGTTGATATCTTTTAGAATGTCTAACTTCTGTGGTTTTGTGTCACCTTCTTGGATCTGACTGCTGTTTTAAGTTTTGTTGCTACTTATTTGAAACACTTACCACAGTTGTAATAGTCAGCCCTCTCTGATGGGTAATCATCTTGTGTACCTTGTTTCCATCCCATCTGACACATTTGAAAATAGTACTTGGCATTCTTTTAGGACTTTTGGCAGGTTTTGGCACACTATCTAGTTTTGGACCTATACAGGAGACTGACTCACTTGGCTTCTTCCATGTCTTGCCTTGCCTTGCATCATTGCCTGGTTTAGTCTCTGGACCTTGGGCTGGCTCACAAACTATACCACCTTTGTGAGTATTAAGTCCTACTTGGACTAAAAATTCTGGAAATGTCTCATTCATCACAATGATTATTAAACATTCCTGGATTAATCTGTCCTTGAATTTACCTGGTAATCTGTAGAAGGCATTGATGAATGACCTCTTTGTTTGTCTGCCTCTTTGTTAAAGCTAGCCTATTTAATAATTAACACTTTTTGGAGGCAGAAGTATGTATTG